GAAGGGGAGATGGACAACACGGTGGGGGCATCTGGCCCGGCTGGTGCCCTGATCCCAGAGATCCCGAGGAGGTGTCTCAGGCTGTCTGAGTCGTGACCTGCTAGGCCAGAGCCCACTCCATCTGGTAGAAGGGAAAGCCCATGTGCTACCACCAGCTGTGTCCAAAACCGCCAGCTCTCTTCTTCCATAGCCAGCCTTGCCCATCCCCTTGAGGTCTCAGCCCCTTTCCCTTGTAGCTCCTCCCCTGGAGGGGGAATGGCAGCAGGGGTTGGGGAAACAGCATCTCCAAGCAGCTTAGAGTTGGCCGTATTTACCTCAGCCTGGGTGCTGGTCCTTTCTTCCGGCCCCTCCCCTCCAAAATGTGCCTATTGCTAGAGCTCCTCCCTCTCAACACCCAGTTTCCTTGGGAGTTGTCATTAAAGGAAAAAAAAAAAAGCCAGTGCCCAGGGATGGGCGTCTCCAGGGAGCTGGGGATTAGTGCCAGGCAGCCCTGCCAGCCATGCCTATATCCCCATGGGCACAGAACAAGCCAAAGCCTTCGTTGTATGTTGACGATGCACTTTTATGAATGTAGTTTCTATCGCTGTTTTTAGCCTTTTCACATCATGTAATGTGAGGCCTTGTACTTGTTAATTTATATCTCAGATCATATTTGATGGTTTATATATATATCAATTCTAGACTGTTACAGGTGATGGACGCCTCGAGAGAGAGAAGAGAAAATGAAAGCAGCTGGTTTTGCAGAAATGTGTGTCGCATGCGCCAGTTGGGCCTGGACCCTCCTGTGTCCATCCCTTTTCCCCCAGGGGATCTATCAGCCCCTGCACCCCACACTGCCCTCTGAAGACAGCACAGGCTCCTGCTTCCACCTCGGCCCTTGCCCAGGGTGGGGCCTGGCCCTCATCTCGACCAAAGCTGCTGTGTGGCAGCTCGGCCTCTCCACGACCCCATCCTGCTGGCTGCACACTCTTCCTGGCCCGCACCCCCATCCCCAGTCCCTGTTCCCCAAGAGGATACAGAGCACGGTGCTGGCTGACTCGACTGTGTCCCAGGTTCAGGCTCTTACAGAGCTCTACCCCCTGGGGTCTTACCTCACTGGGAATGTGTTTTGAAAATGAAGACAAGCCAACAAACCCTGCACTCCAAAAAAGCAAAACAGATCCTAATTTTTGTGTGCCAAAAACTGTGGACATGCTGGCTCAGCATCCTCAGGACCAAGTTGTTGCTTAATTTTAATTTATTGTTTTTTAATAACTAATCCAGATAAAAAGTTGTGGGGCTTCAGGGTGACCTGGGCCCAAAGGTTCTGAAGGGCAGTTTCCTGGCAGCCCCAGGCTTGCTGTGGGAAGGGGCCGTGCCATCACTCTCATCATTCCATGGGGTGTGTCTGCCTGGGTCAACTCCACATGGAGAGGCCAGGGCTGGGGACAGTCCGCACTCTGCCGCCCTCCTGCCCCTCCCGTGCACCCCAGCTCTGTGTCTGTTTGAATTGTGGATCGTGTAGCCATGGTTATTGTGGAACTGTGGAACCTGCAGCCATAGTTATTTGACTATATCTTGACCGAGGGCTTGCAGTGCAAAGCCAGGCCAGTGTTGCGCATTACTTACAATAAAAGGGATCATTTATATCAGAGGGGTCCTGTGGCAGTACTTTCGGTTGTGGGAGGTGGAGGTAGGTTTTTGTCTGGTGGGGGGCCCGTATGGTGCCTGGCAACAAGCTTGGGCCTCTCAAGCAGAGGAGAAATTGATTCCGCCGGGCACGGTGGCTCAAGCCTGTAATCCCAGCACTTTGGGAGGCCCAGGCGGGCGGATCACGAGGTCAGGAGATCCAGACCATCCTGGCTAACACAGTGAAACCCCGTCTCTACTAAAAATACAAGAAAATTAGCCGGGCGTGGTGGCGGGCGCCTGTAGTCCCAGCTACCCGGGAGGCTGAGGCAGGAGAATGGCGTAAACCCAGGAGGCGGAGCTTGCAGTGAGCCGAGATCGCGCCACTGCACTCCAGCCTGGGGCACAGAGCAAGACTCCGTCTCAAAAAAAAAAAAAAAAAAAAAAAAGAAAGAAATTGATTCCAAGTAGAGGGGTCCTGGGGTGACCTGGCTGGTACCACCGTCAGCCCAGAGGTATCTGCCCCTTTCCTCCACTTACCGTCAGCCCAGAGGTATCTGCCCCTTTCCTCCACTTACCGTCAGCCCAGAGGTATCTGCCCCTTTCCTCCACTTGCCCCTCCAGGAGCTCCATTGGGGTGGTCCCAACAGGGCTGATTTGTCAAGGTGGCACTCTTGGCCCTCATGACCTGAATGTCACCAGTGGCTGGGTTCCTAGAGCCTTCATTTGATAGGGTCTTCGTGGCCCAGAGGACTTTCTTCAGTCCCACCTTTGCAGGGCAGGGGTCAGGTGCCTCCAAGAGCCACCTCTCTAGTACCCCCTTGTGGTCATCTGCTACCGTTCCTTAACAGAACCAAGACAGACGTTGTTGCCATCTGAGACCTCTGGTGCAGGAAGTTGGCCTGCCCTGAGAGGCTCTGAGCCACTCGCTTTACACCTGGAAGGCCAGGCCTGGGGCACCATCTCTGCTGAGTATTCGCTCTGCTCCCTCGAGGAGCAGTGCCTGCCTCAGCACAGTGGCTCATGTGATACCGGAGCCTGTGGCCCAGCTCCCTGCCCTGTTCCATGGGGAGGCCACTTAGGAACTCAGGCAGTTGTATGGTGTGGTGGCAGCAAACTCTCTAGTCTCTGTTCTCGTCAGTCCCAGGTATGGAGACACCAGGAAGTTGAATCTGGAGCGAGACAACCCAGACTTCCTGCCTATGTCCCATGGAGGCGCCCTCAGGTCCTCCCAGCTTGCCTGCTTTGCCCTGCTGTGAACTCATCCCTCATTGTCCCTGGGTTTTCAGAGGAGCAGATGTAGTTTCTTTTTGGACTTCCTGGGATAGTAGCTGTGACTGCCCCTCCCCAGAGCTTGAAAAGGCAAGGGGATGATGAGGAGGGACAATCCGGGGGTCACTAAAACCTTGGGCAGCACTTGCTGGGTCTACTGGTTCCTGCCATTCTTCGCTAACTTCCAGGTCAAAGGGCTGGGAAGAAGGGAGGGAGCTAGACAGCTGGAACCAGCCAGGGAATATGGCAGCTCGCACCCCAGGCACTGAAGTGCAGCGAGGACAGGCACCATCACCCACTGGCAGCCTGGCCCTCCCACTCTCAGGCCTCTTCACAATGGGGTGCATATGGTAAGTCGGTGGGTCTGAACCAACCCAAAACTGAGGGGCGAGGTAGAGTTTCAGTTCCAAAACCACTGTGGTGTGACAGCATGGAGCCCTGGCTGTGAAGAGGACCCCTCTCATTTCTCAATGGTGTGTCAGGGAACTGACACCCACTTCTAGCCCCCTACCCCCATCAGGGCCGAGGTACTCCGGGCTGGCCCTGTCCCCGCAAGCCCTCCCCATGATGAGTTTGCACCCTTTCTGCGACAAATCCCCCAGCAGGCCACACAATAGAGAATCTGGATCTATTGAAACATGTTTAAAACGGGGTTGGTCACAACAGTCAGGATGGGCAGAAACGGGAGTGGGGGAGGGGAGTGGGGCCGCACCAGCCCCTGCCAGTGCCTGAGGCTGCAGCCTGGTGAGTGCTTTTGCTTCTGCTTCTCCACGCTGGTGGTTCGAGATGGTCCCAAGCCCCACTGGGGCAGGCCCTGCCATGCCCTGCAGAGGCAGGGTGGCTCCACTTCCCCATCCCCTCCCCCATGGGCTACAGGGGCATTTATGAGACCCAACAGGTGGCACTGTGGCACTCCGTCCTCCCTGTCTCCGTGGCTCAGAACCAGGTTAAGGATAGAGGTAGATGGGGAGATGTGGGGGCCACACTGTCTCCGGTGGCAGTGAGGGAGCTTGGGACCCTGAGTGGGGCATGCTGACTCCTTGCTGGAGAAAAGGCACCTAGATAGGGAAGCTGGGCTTGGGAGCCTCCCAGGGGGTCCTGGGGTAAGGTGGGGATGGTGGCTGAATGAAGCAGGAAGCAGGGTGGTGGGCAGACCCCAATCCTGGTTCCCAAACCCTCACCGGCTGCGGGAGAAGGAGGAAGAAAGGAATTCTGGAGCAGAGCCCTGCCCTGGGCCCCTCCGCCTGAGCAAGCCTCATCCCCTTCCCACCTGGCCCCCACGCAAGCCCAGCTCCACCTCCTTCCCATCTTCCCCCTGCTGGATCCAGGCCCTCCGCAGAGGGGGTGGAAGGTTGCAGAGGCCTCAGGCCGTCTTGGTGCCGGGGTCCACCTCCTTGTGGGCCCAGAGCTCCTTGTGTTGCTTGCGGCCAAACCCCTCGTCGTAGTTGCCTTTGCTCTTAAACAGCTGCTGGAAGTGGGGTTTGCAGTAGAACTCCCCGTGCAGCGCGGCATAGCTGCCCAGGCTGCAGAAGCCAAACGGCGTCAGGTCAGGCCAGGTCGGGGCTGGGTTGGCAGGCGAGGCGGGGGCGGGCAGGGCAGGGGCGCACCTGAGCTTGGTGTGACAGTGCTTGCAGCAGAAGCAAGAGTTGTGGAAAATGAGCTTGTCGGCCACCAGCCGCTCCATGGGGTACACGGTCTTCTGGCAGGCGGCGCAGGTCTCCTTCACCTGGGCCCGCAGGCTGAAAGACTGTGCGGGAGGCTCAGCCAGGTGCTGGCTCAGCCAGGTGCTGCCCCAGTGCCCATCCCGCTCCCTCACACCCCTCCTCCCGCACACCGGCCCCAGGCCCCTACCTTGGAGCGCTGCACCGTGCTGCTGCCGCCGCCTTTGGCGTCCTGAGGGAGAGGGGCGGTCAGGGCAGGAGCAGCTCCGGGAGGCCCTGGACCAGGGCTGCAGCCATCAGCCCAAGGCCTAGGGACGCGCCGCAGGGGGCAAAGGGGGCCGGCAAACTCTGGAGCCTCTCCCCTTTTCCCCAGGCCAGGCTCCCGTCTGGGGGGTCCTCCCACCCGGCCGGGCACTTACATGAGAGGGGGTGGCCTGGGCGGCTCCTGCAGCCTGGAACATGACTTGTTGGAGGTGGAAGCCTCGGGTGGAGACGCGGCACCCGCTGGGTTCTGCAAGGGGAAGTCAGTCGGGAGGGCCCCGCCAGTCCGGCCCCAGCCTGCAGGGTGGGGGGTGTTGACAGGCAGGGGCTGGGGGGATTGCGGTTGGGACTTTCCCTAAGTCATTTCCTGTTGCTCTTGGTCTTGCCACTTCCGCCCCTCCCCCACCTCCCCCACCCCTGTTCCCCAGAGGCCGGGGTCCCGAGTGGCACGGTCCCTCGGAAGAACAAAGTTAGCCAGAGCTGAGGGGCCGCGGGCTCCCGCGCAGCCGCCGTGTGCGCCCCGCGGGCGGGGACCCCGCTTGGGGTGAGGGGAGGTCGGGGCAGGCGGGGCCGCGATGAGAAGCCGCTGACCCGACCTGACCCCGGCCCTCACTGCCCCGCGCCGCGCCCGGGCGTCCAGGCCTCGGCTGGGCAGCCCCTGGACAGCGCCCGAGGTCCCCGCCCGCCCCGCCCCTCGGTCGCGGACCTGGCCCCGCGCGGACTGGACCCCAGACCCCGACGCCGCGAGCCCAGCCAGCGGGTCTCGGCTCCGCCCAGCCGGGGGCCGGACCTGAAGCGAGGACTCGAGACTGTGCGCCCCGGGCCAGAGCGGCTCGCGGACTCGCCGGGACCCCACGGGTGGCCCTCACCCCACACCCCTCGGCACCTCCCCTGGTTCCGGAGCCGGACGCGGCCCCTCCCCCCGCGGCTCTCACCAGGTCCGGCCTGGGCCGCGGGGCGGGATCTGTCTCCGGGGGCGCACGGGTGCGATGAGGGCGCGGACGCGAGCTACCGCCGCTGCCAGTGGTCCCCGAGCGGCCGCCGCCGCCACCGCCTTATCGCTGCGCCGCCCCCGCCGGCCCCCGCCCCGCGCCCGCCCATTGGCTCCGCCGCGCCCGGAGCCGCCTCCGGGGCCCGGGCGCCGCCGCCGACCCCCCTCCGCGCTTTGTCTTCCCCTCGCCGCCGTCCCCGCCTTTGTCTGTCCCCCGCTCCGGCTCCGCGCTCCCGGCTGCTCAGCGCCCCGCGGGCCCCGCGCTCGCATGCCTCGGGCACCGGCCGCGCCGTCTGTCCATCCCGACGGTGACCTGGCGTGGGGAAACGACGGTGGCGGGGACAGGATGGAAGGGCCGCGCTCCGCATCCCACGGGGAGGGGAGGAGTTCAGGCTGCGACGGCTGCGGTCACAGGACACCGGGCACTCCTGGCCTGTTTCCGGGATAACCGGGCTGGGCCTGGGCCATTCACTGCTTCGGTTTCCCCCGGGTGGCCTCGCGCGCAGGCACGGGCGCCCCATTCCCGCCCAGAGCTTTGGGGCCTCAGAGACCCAGCCGGGGCGACCCCGGAGCCTGGCCCAGGGTCCCTCTGGCCGCCGAGTCCTCCTGCCGCCAGGGGCCGCCCCCGCCCCCTTGCGGCCCACGAGGCTGGAGGCAGCGCCCGGGCACGCGATATCCAGGCCCGGCCGCGAGGCTGCGGGGAGCCTGGGGCGCTGGCTCGCCGCGGAGCCTGCACGAGGACCCGGCGGCTCCACCAGCCCTTGGCGCCTCTGCAACCCTGTGACGGGCTGGGGAGGCCGCTATGCGTGGTTCCCGGAGCACCCGACCCCCGAGGCTTCAAGTCCTCACGTGTTTCTGGGGCGGAATTCTGTGGGCAGCAACCGCGACCCCTGGGGGCCGCCCCTCCAACAAGCGCGCTTCATTTCTCACGGGGAAGCCGCGGCCCAGAGAGCTGAGATGACAGAGATCGGGCCGCAGAGCTGCTCCCTCCCTGCAGCCGCACAGCAGGCCAGAGGCATAGCAGGCGAGAGACAGAAGGCGAGGCCGGCGCCTTCCTGGGCACCAGGGACCGAGTGGCTTGGCCTGAAATCAGGCTAGAAGCTGCTCCGGGAAGCACAGTCCTGCGCCCAGAGCCTTCCCACACTGTGGCAGGAATAGCACTGGCGGCCCACGCGCTTGACAGGGAACAGAACAGCTCCCGCCCGATGCCTGGCAGGGGAAGCAGGGAGGCTGCAGCTTCCCCAGCGCCCAGCTGTTTCCCAGGCTGGCGGGCTCCACGCACCGGCTCCGTGTCTCCTCTCCAGCCTTCTGTTCTCTCTAGAGGAAGATCTGCGTTTTGCCTGCACTGTGGGCCGACTCTCTAGTGGGGAGTGTCAGACCCTCTAAAGTGGCTGCCTCTCGGGAAAGCTTCCACACCTGTCCGATTCTCCAAAGGGGCTGCTTGATGCAAGAAACAGGAAGACCGGGGGCACCATGAGCAGGGCTCACTGCCACTGGGCACAGTGAGGCCCCAGCACCCTGCCCAGGACGGGCCTGTGGGCTGAGCTGCAGATGGGCATTGAGGATGCCCCGACAGCAAGGTGCAGAAGGCATCCGGAAGCAAAGGAAACTGATAACCAGCGTTAAAACAAACAAACAAAAAAGGGAACTTGGCTCAGCGGTGGCTCACGCCTCTAGTCCCAGCACTTTGGGAGGCAGAGGCAGGCAGATCACAAGGTCAGAAGTTCGAGACCAGCCTGGCCAACATGGTGAAATCCCATCTCTACTAAAAATACGAAAATTATCCAGGGGTAGTGTGTGTGCCTGTAATCCTAGCTACTTGGGAGGCTGAGGCAGGAGAACTGTTTGAACCTGGGAGGTGGAGGCTGCAGTGAGTCAAGATGAAGCCAGTACACTCCAGCCTGGGTGACAGAGCGACTCTGTCGGGTGGGGGGGCGGCAGGGCAGGGCAAAGGGAACTTGAGGTTTAAAGCAGGGGGAGGAGGGCCGGAAATGAGGCCCCCTACTCCTCCCTCACTCACCCCAGGCCCCATCCTAGCCCAAGGTGGGTGTCATTCCCTTCGCCTTAGCCTCTCACTGCCCAAAGAAGCTTACTTTTCTTCTTTAAACTGCTGTTAAAATTGGGGAGGAAATGGAAAGCAAGGGCATCTGACGGTTCAGAGCAGCTTTAGGTTAGAGGGCATTTGAGGTGCCTGAGCTGGGGGAGGGCCTTCCCCCTGAGGGACTGGGAGAAGGGTAAGCCGTGTGCCCTGGAAGCACTGCAGGGAGACTCATATTTGCACCCCCTTGCTCACACTCACTGGCGCCAGCCAGGATGGCAGGGACGGGCGGGGCTGGTTCTTAGGTTTCCTGCTCTTTGGGTGCTAGCACCCAGGGTAGGAGACACCCAGGTCAGGTTGCATGACAAACCCTTCTACCTCCTTTCTTGCCAAAGGCCGCCAGCATCCTCTGCCTCAATCTCAATCTTTGGACATTTTTAGCTCCAAAGTGGTTTGATGGCCACAGGCTAAAATTCATAGTCTTAAAATTTTAGTTAAGAGACAGATCTGTTATGGGTTTTCAAATAAACTGGTCTATCTAATGAAGGAGGTCACTGCTGAGCTTCCGTGAGCACCCATGGGCCTGCTCTTGGATGGCGGGACGACTCACCTGGGGCAGCACGGCCATCCGTGCAAGCACACACACCAGGAAGCAGCTTGTAGTCCCTGCGCTGATGCAGACACAATGACATTCTCCAGCAGGGTCTCTGGAAATTTTAATTTGTTCTGACAACGAAACTAACACAGCATAAGGACTTAAGCCCTCAAGCTAGGCAAGACACTGATGGCCCTTGGAGAAAGCACCAGGGCAGCTGGCAGGAGGCGCTAAGATAGATTCTTGGTGGGAAAGGAATGAGGCACACACATAAACCGTGGGAAAGACTTAGGTGTCAGGGCCCAAGCCAGAAAAGGGATAAGGATGGACTGTCCCAGCCTTAGTCTGTGCTTAAAAAGACAGAAATACCCTTCTCTGGAATTATGAGGGAGAGGTCTGGGGGAAGGGAGGCAGGCAGCTTACTACTTGCCCTTTCACTGACCTATAGTATCTGAGAGCAAAGTTAAGTAGAATGAGGCTGGTCACAAGCATTGGGAAGAGGTGGCGGTCCTCAGGGTTAAGGAGTCAAACCCTGGGCTTGGAATTTGGCTCCCAGAGCTAGAGCAGCATCTCTTCCTTCTGTAGAGGAGGTCACCTGAGCTCATAGGACTGGGAATGTTGGCTTTGGACCCTCTTGATCCCTGGTTGTTGAGATTTCCTTGTGTCCCAAAAGCCTTGGAGCAGTGAAGTGTCTCTCCAGGATTTCTTTCCCAATCAGTCAGCAGGCAACTTTCCTGGAAGAATGTCCTTTCTACCCAATCTGCCCAGGAGGGCGGGAATGTGGCCAGCCCTCAGGAAGGGCCTCTGCATCCCTGGCTGGAGAATGCGCACAGTTTGCAGAGGCTCAGAACTCCCAATCATCCACCTCCAGCTCTTCCAGGTTTGTTACCAGGCCAAAGATTCCACTATGGTCCTGAGACTGGCTGCTCTCAAAATTGGTGATGGGGGTGACAGGACGAAGCAATTCAGGCAAAGCCTCTGAGGCACGTCGCTTGATCTGGGGGAGAAGAGAGAGGTGGGTGACAGATCCTGTTGCTCTGGGTCCCAGGACACCATGGGGCAAGGACCCATGGCCTGGTGGCAGACAGGCTGTCGGAGCCAACTCTACAAGAGGAAGGAGCAGTGCCTTTCAGGGGCTTCGGAAGCAGGGTAATTTCTCTCATTCAAGGGGAGGGGAAAGAAAGCTAAAGGGATTGTGAGTCGTTAGAACCAGAATGACTAGAACCAGAACCAGAACGAAGGGGCTACGGTACCTGCTTGAAGAAAGAGTGGTTCAGGAGGGTGCTGGCACTGGGCCTGGAGGGAAAGGGGAGGAGAGACCGCAGTGTCACTGCCATGTCCCCAGCTTCCTGAAATCCTGCCACTTATACCTCAGCCTCAGGTCCCCTCTCCCTCTCCCTCAGCTCATGGGAAACAGTAGCCAGAGCTCCCCAAGCTGGCCTCTGACACACCCAGGAGCTGATCCCTCCTGTATGTAGCTCCAGATTCCCCTGCAGAACCTTTGAGAGGTGCATCCCTTCACACCCTGGCCTTACCCTCCTGAGCACCCTCTGCTCTCCCGAAGCCCAGACCCAGGCCAGCGGGAATACCTGGCATCCGGGTTGCGCTGAAGGCACTGCTCCACAAAGTGGTGGAAGTAGGGGGAGAAGGTTCGGTGGTAGGGGTGGGAAGGCGAGTCGCCATTGGAGGGCCGTGGGGTGCTGGTGGTCAGGCTGTCACTCAGGCCAGAGTTGGCCACTGAGCGCGAAGGGCTCATGGTCAGCTCCTCGGCAGGGATGGTGCTGGTATCCAACAGGCAGGGCACTGTGCCGTTTAGTTTCTCTAGCAGCATCTGGGGAGGACAGAACCAGGACCTGGGCTGGAGGGGGGTCCCTGGAAGGCCTGAGTCTCTTCACAAATACACTTTTCCCAATATACAAATGTGATCATTTGAGAGCAGAAAAAGATGGAAGTGGAGTAAGTCCAATTTTCCCAAAGAAATGCTGGTCACTGGCATGGCAGGTCCACCCTAGCCAGGCCAACGTGAAAGGAGAAGGGTTGCACAAAAGTACCCGCTTTTCGCCATGGCTGGAAAGCAGGGCTCACAGTTCCCTCTTTCCCTTTACAAGGCATCAAATTCCTTTTACTGTAGAGTCCTCACCCTAGAGGGGAGGAGCAGCCAGATGAACCTGCTTTGAAGCGCAGCTGTCTGCCATGCCCAGGTGGATCCAATGAGGTCTGAGAGGCAGTCCCTGCAGTGCCACAGCCTGGGCTGTCACTGCAGCAGGCCACACGGGAGCAAGATGCCCAAAGGGAGGCCAGGCTGGGTGGCTGTTCCAAAGTACCCTAACTCAACACATAAAACCAGCCCCATCTGGGGACTGTTGTCCTCGTGGAAGTCCTCATGACCACATAAGCTGTCCAAGCCAGAAACCTGGAAATTGCTCTAGAGCTGCACTAATGTGAGAGCCACTAGCCACTTGTGGCTATTTCGATTTAAATGAGGTTTAAAATTCAGTCCCTTGGTCTCACTGGTCACCTTCTAAATGCTCAACAGCCACACAGTCTCATGGCTGCCATGCTGGACAGTGCAGCCACAGAAGCCCTCCTTCACTGCAGCGAATTCTAGTGGACGGTGCTGCTTCTAGGCCTGGACTTCTTGTTTACCCTCAGTCACCTTTTAATTCTTTCCTGAGCATCCTCTGTCACTGAATTATTTTACTGAGATCTCCTAGATTCCTCACACAGACTTCCATACCCTGCTAACCGATCTACTGGATCTAATCCATCTGCCGGGGTGATCTCTATAAATGACCTATCTTATGCTGTCACTCCTGTGCTTACAATCCTCAGCGCTGCTCCACAGGCTTTAGGACAGGAACCAGTGCTCTGAAGTGGCATCAAAGCCCTTCACAATGTACCCTTGCTTCCTTCTGCAGCCTGTCACCTGGCAGCCCCCAAGAAGCACTGCACCTTGGCCATTTACACCATTTACACCTCCTTGCTGTTCTCCAGATCCTGTGTTTTCTAGACTCTGGGTCTCTGCACATTCTGCTGTCTGCCGAGAAGAGTGTCCTAGTTTCTCCTCCACACAGGTGACTGCTGTCTGCCTTCCAACTCAAGGCTGCCTCCTCCCAGGACCTCCCTGGGCCCCTGCTCTGGGGAGCTGCACTCTGGCCACCATCCAGCTGCCCCTACCACCGGGCAAGCAGCCTGTGGGTTCCAGAGTGGCTTACTCAGAGCCTGCACCCTGCCCCTCCCAGTTCTAGACCATACTCCAAGTACCTGGGACCCAGGTAATCCTTGCCCAAATGACCCCAAATCCATTTTCTGGATTTAATGAGGCTTGGATAAGCCTCTTCCCTGGGTCTGTTTTCCCAAGGGTAGACTGTGCCACTGACTGTGCACCCTTGGATCCGAGGGTAGCCAGAGGACAGGCATCTGGAGGGGCATGAACAGAAGCTGAACTTACAGAATGGGGGTTCCAAAGGTGTTGGCTGAAATGTGGTTGGCATGGAACTCTGAGAACTATGGGAATTCTAAATTAGAAACTGACCTTCCAGGTATATTTATCCAAGTAGGAGGATAGAACATATTTTATACATTTATAAAAACTGGTTAGCTTAATGTATATGTTTTAAATAGACATGTAGCATGTGGGCCTCCATTTGCACCCCTGTTCCTGGGATCGCCTCCCCAAGCTGGCCTCCCTTACCACCGCATTTGCCACAGGAAGTAAACAAAGAGTGAGTCCACCATCCCCCACTGGGTGGGACTTCTTGAAGGAAAACATAGGGTCTTTCATCTTAGTATTCCTGGTCTGTGTCCTGAGTGTGAGAGACACTCAATGAACATCTGTGGAAGGCAGGCAGGCAAGAAGGAAACCAATGGGCGGCAGGCTTACCTGGGTGGCAGGCATATCCTTAAAGGGGACGTGGCCGTTGGCCAGTTCACAGGCTGTGATTCCCACACTGTAGATGTCAGATTTGGCATCATAACCCTGGAGATTCTAAGCCAGGAACAAAAAGCCACAGATGACCCCATTTGGTCTTTGTTCTTAGAAAAAGGGTAGAACTAAGGAGAGGAAAAGGATGGCTGTCTCCAAATCAGGACCCGCTGCTAATGACTCGCCTTGCCTGTGCTACTGAAGACTAACTGCTATTTTACCACCTGCAACTGTTTGGCGATGCTCTGTAAGGAGCTGAAGTGCCAGCCCTAGGTTCCTGCTTAGCACAGGGATCCAGAGAGCAGCAAACATTTCCAAAATGCTCACCCTTCTAATAGGGTGCCAAGGGTCCCTAAAGGGAGCTGAAATAGCATCCAGTAGAGGTTAGGACCCCCTGGGAAGAACCACATCCATCTGCAATGGACAGGCGCTGCCCACGCTGAGGGCTCCCTACCTCCAGGAACCCCTTTACCCCACTGGGAGGTTGAGAGCCCCCGACCCCAGGCAATGCCTGAACGCTCCCTTGGGAATCATAAGTTGGGTAGGGGAGCTCCTCTGGGCCCACGCACAGACCTGCTGGAGGACCTCGGGGCTGAGCCACGGCAGAACCTTGACACTGTACTTTGGAAAATCGTGGACCACTCGCTGCCGCTGCCCATGGCTTATCATGCTGAGGTTGCTGCGCAAACCAGACAGGTAGACCTTCCCATCCACAGAGATCAGGATGTGGCTGGCTTTGACACTCCTGGGGAAGCAGGGAGGGTGTCACGGAGAGCAGGAGCCCCTCCTGCTACAAACTTTTGGTCTTCACACACTCCACCTGGCCAGCTCTCTCCTGTGTGCATGTGTTATACATGTATATGTGTATTTTACATATACATAACCATGTTTTTGTTTTTATTGAGATAGAGTCTCACTCTGTTGCCAGGCTAGAGTGCAGTGGCTCAATCTAGGCACACTGCAACCTCTGCCTCCTGGGTTCAAGCAATTCCTATGCCTCAGCTATCCAAGTAGCTGGGATTACAGGTATGCACCACCACGCCCAGCTAAATTTTTTTTTTTTTTTTTTTTTTTTTTGAGATGGCGTCTCTCTGTCACCCAGGCTGGAGTGCAGTGGTGCGATCTCGGCTCACTGGAAGCTCCGTCTCCCTTCTGGGGACAAACACTCACACTACCCCTAACCAACACACATGTAAATGGTGACATCCACACATGTCCCCTGATGGGTCTGCATGGGGGTTTCTTTAGGGTGTACATCCAGAAGTGGCATTGATGGTTCTGGTTCCACAACCCTGACTGGCAGCACTAGCCATCTTCCACCACCTGGACAGGAGGCTCCCTGTCCTTGCCACACTGGGACTCGCCCATCCTCCCACCCGCTGCCAGGCTCATGTGCATAAGGTGACATCTTGTTTTTCATTTGCTTTTCTCTGATTGAAGATTTGAGTGACTCTTCCCATGATGGGCTTGTCTTGGGGTTTCCTCTTTTGTAGACTTCTGATCTTTGACCCATTTTTCTTGCTTTGCTGTCCATTTCTTGTTGATTTGCAAGATTTCCCTGTTACTAATCTCCTGTGTTGACAAAGCTAATATCATCTGGTCTGTCACTTGTTTCTTCACTTTTTTCATTGTATCTTGCATTGGATAGAAATCTTCTTGATCTAATCAAATTCATTAATCTTTTGTCTTATGTTTTGTGCTTCTAAAATGTTGAGAAATTATTATATGCCTCAGGTCACAAAAACATTTTCTCACATTTCCTTCTATTTAAGTCTGTAGTTTTACGTTTTACATAGAAGCCTTTAATCCAGCTGGAGTCCTCCTATGTGTGAGGAGTTAGGTAGGGGTCCAGTTTTACCATTTTCCCTACTATGAGCTGATCTCCTGACACCATCTACTAAGCTATCTGTCTTTGCCCTGGTCTCTCAGCATAAGACTGACTCTGGGGGCACAGAAAGAAGGAGGCAGAGGGTGGAGTACAAAGGTCCACATGAGATGTTCCTCTCACACAACACTCAGGACCACGCTGCTCAGCAAAGAGAAAGTCAGTGGCTTCAGCACTAACAGGCTGAAGCCTGCTAGACCATCCCCCAAGTCAGTGGCAAGGTCAGAATCCAGATCCTCCTTCTTTTTTTTTTTAAGATAAAAGTCTCACTCTGCCACCTAGGCTGGAGTGTAATGGTGTGATCTCCAATCACTGCAACCTCTGCCTCCTGGGTTCAAGCGATTCTCCTGCCTCAGCCTCTCTAGTAGCTGGGACTACAAGCGTGTGCCACCACACCCAGCTAATTTTTGTATTTTTAGTAGAGACAGGGTTTCACTATGTTGACCAGGCTGGTCTTGAACTCCTGACCTTGTGATCCACCCTCCTTGGCCTCCCAAGTGCTGGGATTACAGGTGTGAGCCACCACGCTGGGCCCTTTTTCTTTTCAGAGCAAAGAAATCCTCAGCAAGAATCCAGATCCTTGATTTTAAACTCTGGCTTCATTAACTTCAGTCAAACTTCACCTGTTTACCTAAAGGCTCAGGGGCACAGCTACCCACTCTAATCATGGGAAAGGCCGCCTAAGAACGCACCTGTGTACATATCCCATGTGGTGGATGTAGTCGAGGGCCTTCAGGACCCCCTGCAGAATGTAAGCGATCACCAGCTCATTCATGCCATCCATGAAGTGTGTACAGATGAGATCCTTTGCAGAACCTGGAGAAAAGAATTGCACGGAGGCAGTGAAAGGTAATGGAGGAGGAAAACAGGCAATCTGACAACAGAGTCCCAGTAACCCCTTTCTACCAAGAACCCTTTCCCACTCACCATATGCCATGAATGATGTGACAACCCACAGCTCATTGTCTGCAATAAAAGTGGCTCGATATGGCACAATATTAGGATGGTTGAAGAGTTTGGAGACATGCAGCTCACCCTGGAAGCAATGATGAAGCTGAAGTCAGAACCAAATGGCCCTGAAGGATGCCGCTCAACACGAAGGTGCCAGCATGGACAATAGGGGGACCTGGCACTTTCTGGGTGTTCTCAGAGTCGTAGGAGCAGCCTAAGCAGGTGCCTGTCAACATAGGAAAAACAAGGCCCTGCTGCCCCTGCAGGGACCCAGCACTGCTTTGCCTCTGCCAAACGGGGAAACTGTCAACAACAGAGGGTGCCAGCACACCGACTCAGAGATGATGAAGGCAAACTCTTGACTGAAGACTTCTGAAGTTACAAGCTTATCTCAATTTCAAGGGTCAACGTACAGAATTCCTCTTTAAGATAAGAAAACAAAAAATATTTTGTTGTTGTTATTTGGAGAGACAAGGTCTCACTGTGTTGTTGCCCAGGCTGGTCTCAAACTCCCGGGCTCAAGCAATCCTTCTGCCTCAGCCTCCCAAAGTGCTAGGATTACAGGTGTGAGCCACCAAGCCACTGTACCTGGCCAAAAATGTTTTTCTCTTTTCTTTCTTTGAGACAGGGTCTTGCTCTGTCACCCAGGCTGGAGTGCAGTGGTGTGATCTTGTCTCACTGCAGCCTCAACTTCCCAGGCTCAAGTCATCCTCCCACCTCAGCCTCGCTGGTGGCTGCGACCACAGGTGGACGTCACCATACCTAGCTAATTTTTTGTATTTTTTTGTAGAGACAGGGTTTCACCATGTTGCCTAGGCCTGCTTTGGCCTCCCAAAGTGCTGGGATTACAGGCGTGAGCCACCATGCCCAGCCCAAAACTATGTTTCTATTGTAAAAGAAAACATGGCCAGGCATGGTGGCTCACGCCTGTAATCCCAGCACTTTGGGAGGCAAGGCGGTGGATCACTTGAGCCCAAGAGTTGAAGACCAGCCTGGGCAACATGGCGAAACCCCATCTATACTAAACATACAAAAAATTAGTTGAGCATGGTGGTGCACGCCTCTAGTCCCAGCTACTCTGGAAGCTTCAGTGGTAGAATCACCTGTGCCTGGAGAAGTCAAGGCTGTGGTGAGCTGTGATTGCACCACTGCACTGCAGCCTAGGCAACAGAGCCAGACCTTGTCTCAAATAAAAAAAGAAAGAAAGAAAACATAGTTGATGGAGGAAAAGGCCAGCTGAGACCCACCAAACTACTATGAACAGATGAACAGGTCCTAGAGCACCATCAGGTAACCACCAATTTAGAAAAAGTTGTAAATGAAGGAGGGGAGGGGCGCAACTAACGCTACTGAAGAAAAACTGTCCCAGGCTCTGAATCTAAGCTGGCATCAGGAAAGGAGAGTCTAATTCCCAGGCACTTACTAGACTCACAGTCTCTCTCCATTTTGTTTTGTTTTGTTTTTTGAGCCAGGGACTCAGTCTATCACCCAGGCTAGAGTTTGGTAGTGCAATCTCAAACTCTTGGGCTCAAGTGATCTGCCTGCCTTGCCCTCCCAAAGTGTTAGGATTACAGGCATGAGCTACCATGCCTCGCCCCTCTCTCAGTTTAACAAGACAGTGGCTACTTGCTTCTCGAATAGAAAGGAATGTCAGGACTGGACATGGTGACTCACACCTGTAATCCTAGCACTTTGGGAGGCCGGAGCAACTTGATTGCTCAAGCTCAGGAGTTTGAGACCAGCCTGGGCAAGATGGTGAAACCCTGTCTCTACAAAAAATACAGGTGTGGTGTGCCTATAGTCCCAGCTATTTGGGGGGCTGAGGCAGGAGAATCACTTGAGCCTAGCAGGTTAAGGCTGCAGTGAGCTGTGCTGCTGCCACTGTACTCCAGCCAGGGCAATAAAATGAGACCCTATCTCAAAAAAAAAAAAAAAAAAAAAAAAAAGAAGCCAGACGCGGTGGCTCACGTTTATAATCACAGCACTTTGGGAGACCAAGGCAGGCGGATCACCTGAAGTCAGGAGTTTGAGACCAGCCTGGCCAACATGAAGAAACCCCATCTTTACTAAAAATACAAAAGTTAGCCGGTTGGGAGGCCGAGGCAGGCGGATCATAATGTCAGGAGATTGAGACTATCCTGGCTAATATGGTGAAACTCCGTCTCTACTAAAAATACAAAAAAATTAGCCGGGCATGGCAGCGTGCGCCTATAGTCCCAGCTACTTGGGAGGCTGAGGCAGGAGGATGGTGTGAACCTGGGAGGTGGAGCTTGCAGTGAGCAGAGATCTTGCCACTGCACTCCAGCCTGGGCAACAGAGCGAGACTCTGTCTCAAAAAAAAAAAAAAGTTAGCCAGGCGCAGTGGTGTGCGCCTATAGTACCAGCTACTTGGGAGGCTAAGGCAGGAGAATCACATGAACCCAGGAGCCGAGATTGTGCCACTGCACTCCAGCCTGGGTGACAGAGTGAGAATCTGTCTCAAAAAAAAAAAAAAAAAAAAAAAAAGGGAAAAAGGAAAAGAAAATGAAAGGAACATCAGGCAAATAAGATGCTGAGAGCCAGAAGATGGCCACTAGTGGCAGGGCAGGCGCCTTGCAACTGGAAGAAGATGGCCTGGATTTGAATCCTGCCTCTGCCATGAGCAAATAATAAATAAATGAATAAAGGAGCCAGAAGGGAGTGTTTGGAGAAGAAAAGTGAAATGTAAATTAGCCTGAGCCCAGTCCTTAGTGCCAAATGGCCAGGATTCTCCACTGAAAGCTTCCGTAACTTCCGAATGTTTACTCTCCCTTCATTTCTTTGTAATTCCTTGTAATTATTATCAGAGCCAAGAGCCCACCCTCCCTCCAGGTGACACACTCATGGTTTATTACCTGCAAGAATGTTACCATCTCATTGGAACAAGCTTCTAGGTTAATCCTCCGTACAGTCACATACTCTCCCGTTGGTTTGTACCTCGCTAGATTCACAGTCATCAGGTCCTCAAATCCTTTGCCTAAAAGAAAAGAGGAATGCCATACACAAGGACAAGAACAACAAAGGGTTTTTAAACATTTTTCCTTAAAAAAGGGACTTGATTTCAAAAGAAACTTAATGTTAAATTTTTCACTGCTATTACTTTTTTTTTCCCTTTTCCCAGCAGAATTTAACTGTTACGTTCATGGCTCACATTTCTCGATTTTTCTCCCATCAGTTCCTTCTCAGCCAACCTTTCTGACTCACTATGGCCAGGACACCAGAAACATGCAGCCACAAAGGAAAGATGGCAAAAGAGCTTCTCTCCTGGAAGTTTGATCTCTTCCCATACTTGGCAGGAAAAAACAGAGGAGACCCACAGAAGCAAGTCTGTGCCCATGAATCCTCCTAACTAGCAGACAGCCTCTGCTGTACACATATCTGGGGCTGCTGAGAAAGCTGCAGCAGCCCCTGGAGCAGGAGAGCAGGAGAGTAAGGACGGTGCCTGCGCATACCTATCACAGTGAGCAGCTCGTAACACCCTCCCTCTGGCAGAAAGCTACTCATGACCTCCTGTTTAGAGAAGGATGCTATTGACTCTGAGCTCGCATCATTGGTCTAAAAAAGAAAAAAAAAAAATAGGTTAGTAGAGAAAACTGGGGGTGGGATGGGAGTGTGGTGAAAGTGGTAATTCAGACCCACGAGGAGACTGGCATCCAAACACACACACAAATCCTGACTCGGTGCCAACACTATTTGAAGAGAAATAAAACATCACATTCAGTGTAGTAATCAGCACTAATATCAGAACAAGTGTTAGGGCTGTCTATAAACGGGGAGACAAGGACGTGTTCCCATCAACTGTTAATCTGCTTGTCCTTTCCAACGATCAATGCATTTGCTAAAACCTATGAAATTCTCACTTGGAGAAGGGATGTCTAGAGAATAAAAGCATGTTTGGAAAAGAGAAGCAGGTGGAGAGGTAGGGATTCTCTTGAATTTCCTGATGCATTAGGATCCTATTTTTAAGGTCCTGACCACAAGATCCCAAAAGGTCAAACACTGAATCTTGCTCTAGCGAAAATGTGGCCAGGAGTAGCCCCTCTTTAGCAAACCAAGAGCCCGGGCCAGTCATTGCCTGACATTTCCAGTGAAGTGGGAGAACCACTGATGCCCTGAGCTGCAGGCAAGGCACAGAGCTGTCAGGTCTCAGGCATCATCCAGGCAGTCAACGTGGCCTGCTCCCTTGTTCCTGCCCACGTGTGCTGTGAGTGAAGCTGGGGTCTAGCCATTTAGGATGTGTCACAACTCTGGCCTCTGAGGTCCTAGAGGAAGGTGTCCAGCCATGTCTGAGTTTGTGCAAAACACACAGCAGACCAACAGCTCTTCTTTCAGGTTAATGGACTGTTTCCTTCTTCCAGACCTAAATTTATGTGTATGATTTAGGGACTGTGACTGCTTTTCTTTTTTTTTAGATTCTCTTTCTTTAGATGCACATCTAACTGAAACGGAGAAACCTGGGCCAGCTCATGTTTCATGTGCTGCACTCATAAACCTGACCTCCAGGCAGAAAAAGTCCTTTGTGAAAGTATGAGAGGCTCCTGGCCCAGCACTACCCAGAAGAGCACGAGCTGAGAGTGTTCTGACAAGGCGGTGCTTGAACAACTCTTTGGGAAGCAGCTCTGCAAAGGAAACCATAAAGATGACAGTGCTCTATACCTGTTAGATGACCAGGGTATACTTTTGCATATGATCTCCTCCATAGCTCAGTGAAGTAGCCGGGACAGATCTTATCTCCACTCTTCACTAACAAAAACGAGGGCCAAGGAGATTAAGTGACTTGCTAAAAATCAAAACGTGAGTACACGGCACAGGACCCAGGCCCAAGCCAGTGAAATTAATCTGCCACCCTGTCAGCTGACATTTCACGTGTATCTGGTTTATTTGTTGATTTGTTGCTGTTGTTGTTGTTGTTGTTGTTGTTTTTTTTTTTTTGAGGCGGAGTTTCGCTCTGTCGCCCAGGCTGGAGTGCAGTGGCCGGATCTCAGCTCACTGCAAGCTCCGCCTCCCGGGTTCACGCCATTCTCCTGCCTCGAGACTCCCGAGTAGCTGGGACTACAGGCGCCCGCCACCTCGCCCGGCTAGATTTTTGTATTTTTTAGTAGAGACGGGGTTTCACCGGGTTAGCCAGGATGGTCTTGATCTCCTGACCTCGTGATCTGCCCGTCTCTTGCTGTTGTTTTTAAGCGATGGGGTCTCTCTCTGTCGCTCAGGCTAAAGTGTAGTGGTGAGATCCTGGCTCACTGTGGCCTTGAACTCCTGGGCTCAATTGATCCTCCTGCCTCAGCCTTCCAAGTAGCTGCGATTACTGGCTGTATGTGGTTTCAAAATAGCTGATGCTGCTGATGCAGAAAGAAACCCCCAGGTGGGCTCTGTCTCCTTCACCACTTACCCTGACAGTAAGAAGAACCTAGTCAAGCAAAATTAAGCCTCGTCACCAAATTCCATTTCTAATTTAATCAATTTTTATATTTCTAAGATTTGACCAAATTGTTGTATTTCACTGTAGTTCACCCATTTTCACTGCTGTATAATCTATTAATCACATGAATATATCTCAGTTTACCCATTCCAACATTGATGGGTCATTTGGATTGTTTTTCTGTTCTGCTATTATGGACTATGCTACTATAAACATGTTTGAATATGTCTCCTGACTAAAGCTTGTACTTAGGAGTGGATGGAATTGCTAGGTGACAGAGTATATGAACAATCAACTTTATGAGACAACGCCAAATTATTTTCCAAAAATGGTTATACCAATTTACACTCCCACCAGCGACGTACGTGTTTTTTGTTTTTGTTTTTGTTTTTAAGACGGAGTCTCACTCTGTCACCAGGCTGGTGTGCAGTGGCACGATCTCGGCTCAGTGCAACCTCCGCCTCCTGGGTCCAAGCGATTCTCCTGACTCAGCCTCCCAAGTAGCTGGGACCACCACGCCTGGCTAAGTTTTGTATTTTTTTTGTAGAGATGGGGTTTTGCCATGTTGCCCAGCTGGTCTTGAACTCCTGACCTCAAGTGATCCACCCAGCTTGGCTCACAAAGTGCTAAGATTACAGGCATGAGCCACCGTGCCCAGCCACATGTGTTCTTATTAATTTATCTTTTCCCCAACATTGATATTTTCAGATTTCTTAATTTTCGCCAGTCTCGTGGATTTGATTTACATTTCCCTGGTTACTAAGGAAGATGAGGATCTCTTCATACATTTATCAGTCATGTGAGCTTTCTCCAAGATGAAAATGCCTCTTCCTGTCTCTTGCCCATTTTCCTATTGTTTCAGTGCAGGATTTCCCCAAAGTGGGCCCCACGGAACTCTGATTCTGCCAGTTGGATAGAAAAACTTTCCATGTCCAATGAAGTTAGGACATGCAGCATACTCTCTCATGGAGGATCACAAAGTGTACGTCCATATTAAAGGCACTGAGAAATTCTGTAGTAAGAAAACTTATTAACTTTGTTTAACCTAGCATTTCCCAAAGAGATCTGTCTAGGGAACCTTCTGTGCCTAACATCTGTTGAATTTTGGGAAAGATAATTGGGAAAGGCTATTTTAAATAAAACATATGCTATAATGCAAAGAGCATAGGCTTATGGGCCATACAGAGGCAGAATTTGAACTCAGGTCTATTACTGGTTCTGTGACCCTGGGCAAGTCACTCTGATCTCTTGGAATCTCCATTATATCAGCAGCTGAGTAATTTCCATCTCACAGTGTTGTCTCTATTAGATGAGATAAAACATGTTAAGAGCTTAGTGCTACCTGGTGTATAAAAGACATTCAATACGTGTGAATCCTATTCTCCTACTCCTTCTATTGCTCTCTACTTTTTGGTGACTCTCCTGTTCAACAAATAAAATAGAAAAGAGAAAATAGAGGAAACAGAGAATCCTAAGCAGAGCTTGATCAGTAGTTAAAGTTGCTTTGATACTGGTTTTTATACTTATCTGTGTTTTCTAATGCTCTCAAAATAAATTCTAGGACCATTAAACTTTATTTTATTTATTTATTTTTGAGACAGAGTCTCGCTCTGTCACCCAGGCTGGAGTACAATGGCACGATCTCAGCTCACTATAGCCTCTGCCTTTTGGGTTCAAGCGATTCTCCTGCCTCAGCCTTCTAAGTAGCTGGGACTACAGGTGCGAGCCACCATGCCTGGCTAAGGATTTTCTTTTTTTTTTTTTAGACAGAGTCTCGCTCTGCTGCCCAGGCTGGAGTGCAGTAGTGTGATCTAGGCTCACTGCAACCTCTGCCTCCTGGGTTCAAGTGATTCTCCTCCCTTGGCCTCCCAAGTAGCTGGGATTACAGGTGCATGATACCACGCCTGGCTAATTTTTTGTATTTTTAGTAAAGACGGGGTTTCACTGTGTTGGCCAGGCTGGTCTCAAACTCCTGACCTCAGGTGATCCGCCCACCTCAGCCTCCCAAAGTGCTAGGATTACAGGCGTGAGTCACCACGCCCGGCAGACAGATACTTCATTATGTCCCTTTTCCTTGTCAGGCGTGCATATAAGCTTATAAGACATATTGTCTACTAGGCTATACACTAAGACACATTCTTGCTAAGCCTAGGTAGGGAATGATTCATTAAACTATCAATGTGCTTAACTAGTAACTTGACAAATATTTATTTCTATTCTCCAGTAGTACAGAAAACTACTAAAACTAACCCAAAAGTATTAGTTTTAGAAAATAAAATTCTTTTTTTTTTTTTTTTTTTTTGAGACAGGGTCTCACTCTGTCACCCAGGCTGGAGTACAGCGGCATGATCATAGCTCACTACAGCCTCGAACTCCGGGGCTCAAGCAGATCCTCCCACCTCAGCCTCCCAGGTATATGCCACCATGCCAGGCTAATCTTTTTTTTTTTTCTTTTTCAATTAGGGACAGAGCCTCACTCTGTCTCCCAGGCTGGAGTGCAATGGCACTATCCTAGCTCACTGCAGCCTTGAACTCCTGGGCTTAAGGGATTTTCCTGCCTCATCCTCCTGGGTAGGTAGGACTACCAGTGTGCGCCACCATGCCTGGCTAGTTTTTTTGTTTTTAGAGATGGGGTCTCACTGTGTTGCCCAGGCTGGCCTCAAATTCCTGGCCTCAAATCATCCTCCTGCCTCAGCCTCCCAAAGTGCTAGGTTTACAGGTGTGAGCCACCACACCTGGCCTTTAGAAAATAAAGTTCTGGGGGCCGGACATGGTGGCTCACACCTGTAATCCCAGCACTCTGGGAGGCCAAGGCAGGCAGATCAGGAGATCAAGCCCATCCTGGCCAACACGGTGAAACCCCGTCTCTACTAAAAATACAAAAAATTAGTCGGGTATGGCAGCGGGTGCCTGTAGTCCCAGCTACTTGGGAGGCTGAGGCAGGAGAATGGCGTGAACTCGGGAGGCGGAGCTTGCAATGAGCTGAGATCGCGCCACTGCACTCCAGCCTGGGCGACAGAGCGACACTCCATTTCAAAAAAAAGAAAGAAAGAAAAGAAAGAAAGAAAGAAAAGAAAGAGAGAGAGAGAGAGAGAGAGGAAGGAATGAAGGAAGGAAGGAAGGAAGGAAGGAAGGAAGGAAGGAAGGAAGGAAGGAAGGAAGGGAAAGAAAAAGAAAGAAAGAAGGAAGAGAGAGAGAGAGAGAGAGAAAGAAGAAAGAAAGAAAGAAAGAAGAAAGAAAGAAGGAAAGAAAGAAAGAAAAGAAAGAAGGAAGGAAAGAAAAGAAAAGAAAAGAAAAGAAAAAAGAAAAGAAAAGAAAAGAAAGAAAGTAAGTAAGTTAGCTCTTGGCCAGGCACGGTGGCTCACGCCTGTAATCCCAGCACTTTGGGAGGCCGAGGCGGGTGGATCATCTGAGGTCAGGAGTTTGAAACCAGCCTGGCCAACATGGTGAAACCCCGTCTCTACTGAATACAAAAAATTAGCTGGGTGTGGTGGCACATGTCTATAATCCCAGCTACTTGGGAGGCTGAGGCAGGAGAATCACTTGAACCCGGGAGGCAGACATTGCAGTGAGCCGAGATTGCACCATTGCATTCCAGCCTGGGCAACAAAAGTGAAGTTCCATCTCAAAAAAAAAAAAGAAGTTCTTGAAAGTTCTTGACTGGGCACGGTGGCTCACGACTGTAATCCCAGCATTTTGGGAGGCTGAGTCAGGTGGATCACTTGAAGTCAGGAGTTTGAGACCAGCCAACATAGTGAAACCAGAAAATATTCTCTACTAAAAATACAAAAATTAGCTGCGCGTGATGGCACACGCCTGTAATTCCACCTACTCGGGACGTTGAGGCAGAATTGCTTGAACCCAGGAGGCAGAGGTTGCAGTGAACCGAGGTTGCACCACTGCACTCCAGCCTAGGCAACAGAGTGAGACTCGATCTCAAAAAAGAAAAGAAAAGAAAAGAAAGTTCTTTATGTAACTGGCAATATGAGCTCACAGGCAATCTGGAATTGCATAAAATGAACTAGTCCAGTGATAGCAACTGCTCTGTCCCTGGCTCACTAGGAATGATTCTAAAATGGAGGCCTTCTTCTTTGTGGATATTGTATAGGTCTGAACTCAAAGAGAGACCAAACTTCATTTAGGAAAACAAACAAACAAACAAGGAAACAGGCAATATTTTGAAAGGAAGAGGTCTAGATCATCTGACATTGCCACAAGAAAGGAAGGTTAGTTCATCACACTGTTTCAGTTTTAGAACAGGTTGAAACTCAGATAAAAAGAATGAAATATTTAGCCCATTCTCTTTAAATGCAGCATGACATAGTTTAATTAGTGGAATGTAATAATCTCAAATTGCTCATAGAAAGTAACTAATTCTATCCAAGTGTTTTCTTAGTTTCCCCCACCATGAAATGCATTTTATTCATTTTGAAGCATTTGAAAAATACATAAGCAGCTGATATCCAGAAATGACCACAAAATAACTGTGTTAAAGAGTTTAAAACAAAATACAGTAAAGCATACAAAGACAATATTCACAAAATGCTACCAAATAAACACATTCAACTTCCCACAGGTTTCACGCAGGATAACTTTGGATATAACATCAGCAGCTGTAAAAATATAAAAATTATATGTAATTGGCATTGTATTCTAGAAAAATAGCTAACTGAGCCTATAGGGAACATTTTTGGTCTCCAGATTGGAAAGCATTTGGATCTGATAGAGAGGTGCTCCTGATTAGTGGATGACGTAAGCATAGCCAAAGCTTTACTCAGAAATTCCGAGTCAACATCATTGTCCTTCACTCAACCTTGGGGCTGCTGCAGAAGCTGCAAATGTCTGCAATCTGAACAGAGTCAGAAGTCTAGGTAGGAAAGTTCTTATCCTCTCTCTTTATAAGATGCTGATTCATATATTCAAAAATAGCTTGGTACATTGTGCACATCTGGTGCTATTTATTTAAGTAAAATAAACTAGAAGAGAAGGAAACAGGGTAAGAATCTTGCAGCTTTCACCAATGAAAAAAGTAAATGTTCTGTTTTACACTTTTTAATTTTGCTTTTGTTTTTAAGGTAAGAGATTTGAGGTCTAGACAGAGATCTGTATTATGTCTGTGGACGCAAATCTATTATTAATAGACTAAGGACAGAAAATTTAATACCATTAGTCACTAAACAATAACCGTATTTCAGATTATTGAAACTTACTTTTTTGGGGGAAGGGGTGGTGGTCAATTGGCAGGGCTGGGGAGGGGAGGAGACCTTAATCCCCAGAAGAGACAAAAAGTACCTGAGACTTTTTTCAGTTTTCAAATTACACATCCAAATCTTTCCAGGGTGAAACCTGAAACTCCACAAGTACAAAAATCACACTACAAATAAAGCTCAGTGACAGATAAGCAGAAACATAAAATGATAAGCCAAAAGAACACACAAACTTCCACAAGAAATCATCTCCATGCAACAGCCATAGTGCTAGGGCCTAGGAAGTCACTTACTTTTCTCCGAGTGTCACCCGGAGGCTGCTCTGGGGTAGAGAAATTGATTGTTGGCATTTTGTGTTTTAGCAGAAGACACACCCACATTCAGAACAGCAATTATTGTACTTAGGACTACATTTATTAATAGAAACCACTTAAGAGTCATTACAGCAAAAATTGCCTGTGGGGCTACATATAAACACACATACACAGATCCACAGTAAAAATGCTGCAGAGAGATGGGGCTTTAAACATGGATCTATGGTTCTTCAAAAGGTGGCAAGTCTACTATTTTATGGGTATTCTTTACTAGATAGAACTCAACTGCTACAATTCTGGTCATACATTTACTTGGCATCAACACACAATGTTGTTATGAATAGGCCAGTTCCTTATACTTTGTGAATAAATAATTCATTATATAGTTACAGAGATGGTTGGCCATTTCCCAGTGAGTGTGGGAACTAGAAAACATGTTTTTTCAAAAAGGGGCAAAAATTTTAATATAGCAACACGTGTATGAAGGACCATTACTCAACCTGATTCTCTAAAGTCAGATAGATTTGATTCTAAATGTAAATAAAGCAAAGGCATTTGGCGCTCTGCTAGTCCTAGTGAAAATGAACAAAACAAAGGACAACTGAAATAACTTTCTGTTCTTAAGTCAAATTCTGTATGTGCTGTTGACCTTCTCTATTCTGTATAAGTGATAAAAATCACCAAACTGAAGATTTTTAACTGTAAAATATTGGGGTGATTATACATTTCTAATCATCTTAAATTTCTAAATACCTTAAACTATACAAAATCAGAAAAGTCTAGTTACCAAGGAAAATGCTTTCTTCTTTTCTTTTTTGGAGGCAGAGTCTTGCTTTATCCCTAGGCTGGAGTGCAGTGGCATGATCTCTGTTCACTGCAGCCTCTGCCTCCCGGGTTCAAGAGATTCTCCTGCCTCAGCCTCCCGAGTAGCTGGGATTACAGGTGCCTGCCACCACGCCCAGCTAATTTTTATATTTTTAGTAGAGATGGGGTTTTGCCATGTTGGCCAGGCTGGTCTCCAACTCCTGACCTCAGGTGATCTGCCCGCCTCGGCCTTCCAAAGTGCTGGGATTACAGGTGTGAGCCACTGCACCTGGCCTACTTTTTTTTGTCTTTTTTTTTTCGAGACAGAGTCTCCCTCTGTCGCCCAGGCAGGAGTGCAGTGGTGTGATCTTGGCAATTCTCCTGCCTCAGCCTCCTGAGTAGCTGGGATTACAGGCGTGCGCCACCATGCCGATTAATTTTTTTTGTATTTTTAGCAGAGATGGGGTTTTCACCATATTGGCCAGGCTAGTCTTGAACTCCTTGACCTTGTGATCTGCCTGCCTCGGCCTCCCAAAGTGCTGTGATAACAGGAGTGAGCCACTGCGCCCGGCATCACTGTTTACTTTTAAACCATTTTATTCCCATTAATGATGGGAAGAAAATGAGAATAGGAACAGAATGTGGTATTTTTGTTCCACTAGCCTTTCCTTTACTGTGCATCTAACTAATTCTTTCCAACTAAAATATATAGAACTCATCATTTTTCTAAACTCTCATTTGTCTAAAACATAACACTCTGACAAAGTTCACAAAAATTCTAGTCCAGAAATTCTTTGAGATGTGTTAGGGAAAATAAATTAATAGGTACCACCTAGTAACTAACAAGTTTGAGTTTTCAATTACTTAAATCTATCCCTGACCTCATGATCTGCCCCCTCGGCCTCCCAAAGTGAAACCCCATCTCTACTAAAAATACAAAAAAAATTAAGCCGGGTATGGTGGTGTGCTCCTGTAATCTCAGCTACTCAGGAGGGCTGAGACAGGAGAATCTCTTGAACCCGGGAGGCAGAGGTTGCAGTGAGCCAAGATCGTGCCACTGCACTCCAGCTTGGGCGACAAAGCGAGACTCCGTCTCAAAACAAAACAACAAAAAACAAAACAAAACAAAACAAAACCCCAAAAAACAAAAAATCCTATCTGGGGGTATTTTGGATCAGCTAACCAATGTACTCAATCTGATAATCTGCTTTTTAAATTTACTTCTTATTTTATTTATTTATTTTCTGAGACAGAGTCTCAAAAACTCAGCCTTGCTCTTTCACCTAGGCTGGAGCACAGTGGCGTGATCTCGGCTTACTGCAACCTCCACCTCCCGATTTCAAGCCATTCTCCTGCCTCAGTCTCCCTAGTAGCTGGGACCACAGGTGTGCGCCACCAAGCCTGGCTAATTTTTGTATTTTTAGTAGAGATGGGATTTCACCACGTTGGCCAGCCTGGTCTCAAACTCCTGACCTCAGGTGATCCGCCTGCCTTGGCCTCCCAAAGTGCTGGGATTATATGCGTGAGCCACCATGCCCGGCCGATAATCTGATTTTTTTTTTTTTTTTTTTTGAGACGGAGTGTTGCTCTGTTACCCAGGCTGGAGTGCAGTGGTGCCATCTTGGTTCACAGCAACCTCCACCTCCTGGGTTCAAGCGATTCTCCTGCCTCAGCTTCCCAAGTAGCTGGGACTACAGTGCGCGCCACCACGACCAGCTAATTTTTGTATTTTTAGTAGAAACGGGATTTCACCACATTGGCCTGGCTGGTCCCGAATTCCTGACCTTAAGTGATCTGCCTGCCTCGGCCTCCCAAAGTGCTGGGATTACAGGCGTGAGCCACCATGTCCGGCCTGATAATCTGTTTCTTTTCTTTTTCTTTTTTTTTTTTTTGAGACTCACTCTCTCTCGCTCTGTCTCGCTCTGTCGCCCAGGCTGCAGTGCAGTGGCGCGATCTCCACTCACTGCAAGCTCCGCCTCCCGGGTTCACGCCACTCTCCTGCCTCAGCCTCTCAAGTGTAGCTGGGATTACACTAGGATTACCACTAGGCCTGGCTAATTTTTTTGTATTTTTAGTAGAGACGGGGTTTCACCATGTTAGCCAGGATGGTCTCAATCTTCTGACCTCGTGATCTGCCTGCCTTGGCCTCCCAAAGTGCTGGGATTACAGGCGTGAGCCACCGCGCCCGGCCGATAATCTGTTTCTTAAACTATAAGATCCTAAAAGAGTATCTTGGTATTCAGACACAAAGAATAGTGCTCTACTATTATTTTTTTTGAAAATAATTTTTTTTGCCCTAAATTAAGATGACAGTTCCCTAAAAGGCTCACTTTGAAAATGGCCAAAGGGTAATGTCTAGGCCTGTCAAGGTTTACTTCTGAAATCAACATTCAGGTTTTACAATAGGAAGTTCATATTTTTGCTCTGAAAGACTTTGCCTTCATTCTGTTCTCTTAAGTCTTATAATTTCTACCATGAAAAAATGAGTCAACTAGATTGAGCGATAAAACCAGAACTTCCAGATCATTGCTTCCTTTGTCTTGACAATTATTTTTTAAATCTTCAAGGCTAGAGACTTTTAAAGTTTTCTTTCTTTAAAAATATGTATTTCACCTGGACAAAAGAAAACATATATGCTTTTAAGTAAATACTGGCTTTCTAACAATCAAGAGAGGCCAAGGAAAATTGCCAGGTTAGTCTTCAAATCTTTGGGAAACCATAAATTCATAAAGGAACCGAAGAAATCCAATAACTGTAGGTTACATTTGCCCTTAGAATTGCTAATTGCTATAGATTGCTTTAGTCAACAAAAAAGTAGTGATTTTTTATATCCTGAAGTGATGGCTAAATGCCATACTGTACTTACCTCCAAATAGTTCCAAATCTCTTAAGCCCTCAACAATGAACTTTTCCGAGACCCACCGCTAAAGAGGAAAACCCCAAAGAGAATTAGTATTTCTTCCAAGCCACAACAAATTAGCTATCAGCCTTTAGACAGACAGACAAAATCACAACTATGAAAACAGAATCATGCAGTACAGTTAGAAATCATTTCTTTTTTTTTTTTGAGATGGAGTCTTGCTCTGTCACCCAGGCTGGAGTGCAGTGGCGTGATCTCGGCTCACTGCAAGCTCTGCCTCCTGGGTTCATGCCATTCTCCTGCCTCAGCCTCCCGAGTAGCTGGGACTACAGATGCCCGCCACCACGCCTGGCTAATCTTTTCTGTGTGTTTTTAGTAGAGACGGGGTTTCACCATGTTAGCCAGGGTGGTCTCGATCTCCTGACCTCGTGATCCGCCCGCCTTGGCCTCCCAAAGTGCTGGGATTACAGGCGTGAGCCACCACACCCGGCCAGGAATCATTTCTATGGAAAAGTTGTTAACAGAATCTTGAACTAAAAACAAGATTCCTTTCTCTACTCCTCTTTGCCTATTTGATGAATAATTCTTATATTTGACAGATGAGAAATAGATAATACTGGCTCTAATAATGAAGACTTTTTTTGCCTTCCCTATATTGGTTCCATCTTACTCATTCTACATTACAGATGCCTTGGATCACTGATGTCAATTTGAAAACTATCACTGGAATTCATAACACAGAAAACAGAGATGAAACACTAGTTATCCACAAAACCCTGTTAGTTTGTAAAACGACACACAACAAGTTGCATATTCTTTATCCACTAGGGGTTCTAAAGACATGGCTGCTTATATTTTCTGCCAAGTTCACAAGGGCCAAACTAGTAAGATCAAACTAGCAGGATCAATCTATGGCTCACTTTACTAGCCTATTTCAAATGAGTATTAGATTTCTGTCATTCTGATCAGTGGTTTTGTTTCACCTGAATTAGGCTACACTGAAACAGAAAAGGAGCTCGTATTTAAAAGCAATGGAATCAAGATTGCATTTCCCTTAAGGACTGGTGTTACACTTTGGCTTGGGGGCATTCTTTCCATGGGGCAGAGTTCAGGCTATGGAGACATTCCTTTTTTCCTCTTAATTAACAGTGAAGTTTACTCTTTCTAACATAAATTGTTCTTATACGCATAAACATTAGAAAAAAGATTAAGTATTAAGTAACATTCAGAAATAAGTTGCATGATATAGACTGTGAATTGGAATTACAGCATCATTCTCTGTCCTTCCCTATAACTATTTTTTCCAAATCAAAAAAGAAATAACATCCTAAATTTAAAACTTCATATAAAATTATATGCACTGCATCAAAAAACATAAATTATGCTTTAATATGTAAAGAAAGTGGTGTACTCATAATGTCTCATAGAACTTATACCCTGTTACAAAATTCTAAAATAATTACTATTGCATTTAGAAATTAGGTACTTGATAATAAACAAAATAAGACACTCATGAAATAATGGGAATTTGTAAAGAAGCTAAATCTAGTATTGTTTTTGAGGTCATTTTTTCTGACGAAGTTTTGAAGTATAATAAAATCTTTCATGTTCAAAAAGTCTTCAATTAAAACTAATGGTATTACTTAGAAAAAAGTGTCCTGGTAATTACAACTTGATTTTGAAAACTCACAAACTCAAGAGGGCGGGGGGTGGGTCATAAGCAGATACACATCTACACTGAGAAGTATCATTGACTCATTTAATGTTGTATGACTGATATTCATGAAATAAGCCACTTTCTTCTTATTTCTTCTCTATCAGACAAGCTGGTGGTAAATTTTGTGTCTCTGGTCAGCCTCTGTCTGCAAACTCTTCTCAGGAGTGGAGGCTGCACTACCTGCCTTACTTCCTACATTCCTCACTTCTGTATCATTCCGACCCTAACCACCTACAACATCTGCCAAAACACACTGCTTTTCAGAAAACAAAAATAGTAAAGTCAGAAGAATAGAAAAACACTCACCCTGATTCGCTCTGGTTTACTTACAAGAAACGACATGAGTTCCTACTGTGTAGACCTACTTCAGTTTCAAAAACTTAAACCTAAAAGGAAAATAGAAACAGATTGAGTTAACAAAAATCTCCTTATATAGAAATACCTTCTGATTAACAAAAACTTATTACAGGTCTACCATTCAAAGCACTGGACTTCACCTATAAATTGCTAGGTTTGTTTAGAGAAACTTTAAGTGATGATAAATCTGAATATACTTTGGCCAAGTACATTATAAAATTCTGTAATTTCTGGCCGGGCGCAGTGGTTCATGTCTGTAATCCCAGCACTTTGGGAAGCCGAGGCGGGCGGATCACCTGAGGTCAGGAGTTCAAGACCAGCCTGGCCAACATGGTGAAACCCCGACTCTATTAAAAAACAAAAAAAGCCAGGCAAGGTGGCATGTGGCTGTAATCCCAGCTACTTAAGAATCATTTGAACCCAGGAGGTGGAGATTGCAGTGAGCAGAGATCACGCCATTGCATTCCAACCTGGGTGACAGAGCAAGACTGTCTCAAAAAAATAAAATAAAATAATTTCTGTAGAAAGAGAAATGTGTTATGTGGTTTTAAATTAATTCCTAAATTTCTCTTGACTCAATCCCCCACTAACCTTTACCCAGAAACAATTACCTTCAGTTATTTTCCATGGTTATCCTGCTTTTTATTTATTTACTTTTTGTAGAGACAGGGTCTCTCTATGTGGCCCAGACTGGTCTGGAACTCCTGGACTCAAGTGATCCTCCCATCTTGGCCTCCCGAAGTGTGGGGGTTACCAGGTGAGCCACCATGCACAGTGTTATCCTGCTTTTTAATAATTATTCTTAATGTTTATATGGGGATGACTTAATTTTAACTTTTTAAATTTTCTTTACAGCTCCTTGCAGAGCAGGGCTAACTCATAGGCAGTGTACCCAGAGTCAGCCAGTTTTAACTTCCTACCATGGTAGATGAAGACAAAGCTTCTTACATGATTATCTTCCACTGTATCTCCTGCTCTCATTCCACCAACATAGCTCTGGTATAATTTTGCTTAAATCAATAGTCCACATTTATATTACTATGACTATGCAAATATGGTTCAAAGCTGAGGCACACAGAAATACCTGTCTCGGCCGGGCCTGGTGGCTCAAGCCTATAATCCCAGCACTTTGCGAGGCCGAGGTGGGTGGATCACTTGAGGTCAGGAGTTCGAGACGTTAGCCTGACCAACATGGTAAAACCCCGTCTCTACTAAAAATACACAAAAAATTAGCCAGGCGTGGTGGCGGGCACCTGTTCCCAGCTACTTGGGAGGCTGAGAAACGAGAATTGCTTGAACCCGGGAGGCGGAGGTTGCAGTAAACCAAGGTCGCGCCACTGCACTCCAGCCTGGGTGACAGAGCTAGACTCTGTCTCAAAACAAACAAACAAACAAACAAAAACCAACCATGTCTCTTTTCCTGTTTTTTTTTTTTTCCTTTTATTTTTGAGATGGAGTTTTGCTCTTGTTGCGCAGGCTGGAGTGCAGTTGCACGACCTTGACTCACGGCAACCTCTGCCTCCTAGGTTCAAGTGATTCTCCTGCCCCAGCCTCCTGAGTAGCTGGGATAACAGGTGCCTGCCACCATGACTGGCTAATTTTTGTATTTAGTAGAGATGGGGTTTCACCATGTTGGCCAGGCTAGTCTTGAACTCCCGACCTCAGGTGATCCACCCGCCTCAGCCTCCCAAAGTGCTGGGATTATAGGCATGAGACACTGTGCCCGGACAATGTCTTTCTTTCCTTATACACCTATTTTTTCCTAGAGTTAATAACCACCTCATTTGTTCACTTGCTTGGTTTCTCATATAGCTATTATTAACTTTTTACAAATACACCAACATCTCTGCTATTTGACTTATCCATATATTTTTCTATACCCTCAAACCCATCAATTTCAATTTTCTCCTGGAAGTTGCCTTCATAGGGCCCTCCAGCCTCCTACTACAATCTGGAGTAGTTGCTTTTTAGGCCAGTTGCACTTAGTTGACTTTTTTTTTTTTTTTCTCTTTTCGAGGCAGGGTCTGGCTCTGTCATCCAGTCTGGAGTGCAGTGATGCGATCTCTGCTCACTGCAACCTCTGCCTCCAGGGCTCCAACCATCCTCCTACCTCAGTCTCCTGAGTAGCTGGGACTACAGGTACATGCCACCATGCCTAATTTTTTATTTTTTGTAGAGACGGGGCTTTGCCACATTGCCCAGGCTGGAGTGCGGTAGCATGATCCTGGCTCACTGCAACCTCCGTCTCCCAGGTTCAAGTGATTCTCCTGCTTCAGCCTCCCGAGTTACTGGGACTATAGGTGCGCACACCACTACGCCTGGCTAATTTTTTTGTATTTTTAGTAGAGACAGGGTTTCCCTATGTTGGCCAGGCTGGTCTCGAACCCTTGATCTTAGGTGATCTGCCCACCTCAGCCTCCCAAAGTGCTGGGATTACAGGCATGAGCCACTGCCCTGGTCTCAAACTCTTGAGCTCAAGCAATCTGTCTGCCTTGGCCTCCCACAAGTGCTAGGATTACAGGTGTGAGCCACCGTTCCTGGCCCTACCCTGATATATATATACATATTTTTTTGAGATGGAGTCTCGCTCTGTTGCCAGGCTGGAGTGAAGTGGTGATCTTGGCTCACTGCAACCTCTGACTCCCGGATTCCAGCGATTCTCCTGCCTCAGCCTCCCGAGTAGCTGGGATTACAGGCGCATGCCACCACGTCCGGCTAAGTTTTGTATTTTTAGTAGAGATGGGGTTTCACCATGTTGGTCAGGATGGTCTCGATCTCCTGACCTTGTGATCTGCCCGTCTCGGCCTCCCAAAGTGCTGGGATTACAGGTGTGAGTCACTGCACCTGGTCCTGATATTCTTATAGAAGCTCCTTCTCCAACCCTAGCTAAGAATCATTCATTTATGTTGTCATAAAATTTTAAAAATAAAGAATTTATTTGAAAAAACATGATTAGAATGCATATTTAATAGTATTAAACACAAAAAATCATGCAAAAGAAATTTAAGAGGAAAAAAGGTCCATATCTCCATGTAGTCTACAATAGAAAGAGAAAATTAATGTAGATAAAGAGGCAGGTAGATGTTTTTATCTGCAAAAAAAGTTTCTATGGTCTGGAAAAATTTTAGAATTTAAAAATAAAATCAAATTTTCTTTCTTGCTTTCTTTTTTTTATGAGACAGGGTTTCATTCTATTGCCCAGGTTGGAGTGCAGTGGCACAATCTCAGCTCACGGCAACCTCTGCTTCCAAGGTTTAAGTGATTCTCCTGCCTCCGCCTCCCAAGTAGCTGGGACTACAGATGTGCATCACCATCCCTGGCTAATTTTTGTATTTTTAGTAGAGTGAGGGATTCACCATGTTAGCCAGGTTGGTCTCGAACTCCTGACCTCAAGTTATCTACCCGCCTCGGCCTCCCAAAGATCTGGGATTATAGGTGTGAGCCACCCCACCGGCCTAAAACAGAATGTATTTCAAACTAACTTGTGTATTTATAAACACCTATAGATGCTCAGACATCCACCTTTAAAAATTCTAATTTTGCAGGTCTGGGGAGGGCCTTGGACATCTATATAGTTTTAAAAGTTCTAAGCCGGGCGCGGTGGCTCAAGCCTGTAATCCCAGCACTTTGGGAGGCCAAGACGGGCGGATCACGAGGTCAGGAGATCGAGACCATCCTGGCTAACACGGTGAAACCCCATCTCTACTAAAAATACAAGAAAATTAGCCGGGTGAGGTGGCGGGCGCCTGTAGTCCCAGTTACTCGGGAGGCTGAGGCAGGAGAATGGCGTGAACCCCGGGACGGGGGGGCGCGGGCGGAGCTTGCAGTGAGCCAAGATAGCGCCACTGCACTCCAGCCTGGGGGCACAGAGCAAGACTCCGTCTCAAAAAAAAAAAAAAAAAAAAAAAGTTCTAGCTGCTACCACTACCACCATTCTTCCCCACCTCACCACAAAAACAACAACAAAAGCCATGCATTGTCAGGATTGAGAACCACTGAGAAAACAGATGGAGTAAGTTCCAGGCTCTTTTCTGCTTTTTCTAATCAGGTCTTGGAATAGTTCCTCAAATGTACAACTGATTAAAAATCTCCAGTTAAATGGATAGTAAGAATCTTAAGAATATGAATATATTGGCTGGGCGTGGTGGCTCATGCCTATACTCCTAGGACTTTTGGAGGCTGAGGTGGGTGGATCACCTGAGGTCAGGAGTTCAAGACCAGCCTGGCCAACATGGTGAAACCCCATCTCTACTAAAAATACAAAAATTAGCTGGGCGTGGTGGCAGGTGCCTGTAATCCCCACTACTCGGGAGGCTGAGGCAGGATAATCGCTTGAACCCAGGAGGTGGAGGTTGCAGTGAGCCAAGATCGCACCATTGCACTCCAGCCTGGGGAACAAGAGCAAGACTTCGTCTCAAAAAATAAATAAATAAATATTATGAATATACCTTGCTGTTTTTCCACTTGTCGGAATTTGCCCTAGGGAAAATTTATGTAGAAATTTAGTTACAAGGATATCTCCTATAGTATCACTGTCTATTATAGCAACCACTAGCCAAATGTGGTTAAACTTACAACTGAATTTGTAATAAATAAGTAAAATTAAAATTTCAGTTCCTGTGGCTGGGTGTGGTGGCTCACACCTGTAATCCCAGCACTTTGAGAGGCTAAGTGGGGAGGATCACTTGAGCCCAGGAGTTCAAGACCAGCCTGGGAAACAGAGTGAGACCCCGTCTCTACCCCCACCCCAACACTGGCAAAAAAAAAAAAAAAAAAAATTAGCCAGGTGTGGTACTGATATTCTTAGCTACTTGGGAGGCTGAGGTGGGAGGATCACCTGAGCCTGGGAAGTCAAGAGTGTGATGAGCTGAGCTGTTACTGTACCACTATACTCCAGCCTGGGTGACAGAGAGACGTCCTGTCTTAAAAAAAAAAAAAAAAAATTCAGTTCCTCAGTCACATTACATTTCAAGTTCTCAGGAGTCACATGTAGCTAGCAGCTTCTCTATTAGAAGATGAGAATGCCTGG